AGAGAGAGAGAGAGAGAGAGAGAGAGAGAGAGAGAGAGAGAGAGAGAGAGAGAGAGGGTGTCCTGGACCTCCTTACTGTTCTCCGCAATGGGCTCCTAAGGGCCGGTGCCAGCCCAGCTGAAAACCAGGCGCCCGCGGTCGTCTAGGGCTGCAAATCTTGGGAAGGAGGGGCGGTGGGGGAAATATCTCTGAAAGGGTGGCCGGAGCTTATCACCCCCAAGGATGATATCCAGTCCCAGAGTCCGCAGCAGGAAGGAAGGGGCGTGGCCCCCTCCCAGGGACGGTCTGCCCTCTCTCCCTCTCCCCCCTCTTTTCACTCTGCTCTGAAGTAACTGGAAGCCGAGCGAAAGGGCCAGATCGCCCCCGTCCTCCTCCCTCGAGGATGGGGCCTCCAAGAAGCCATCCGCACTTTTCCCTCTTTCCCGCGTTCTCACGCGCGCGCGAGAGACACTGGTGCTCTCCACCAGACTGTCCTGGGTTTTTCCAGAGAGTTGAGGTCACTCTTGCTGGCGTTCTCATGGATTTATTTGTTTGTTTGTAAAGGTGTACGAAGAAGCTTTTTTGGACGTTTCTTTTTCATCTCCCTTCAATTAAAAAAATAATAATAATAAAAAAAGAGGGTTATACTATCCTCTTTAACAGTTCGCTAGCTTTCCTGAAGTTGGGGGGCAGCGGGAGTGGGGGAAGAAGAAGAGAAGAAAGGGAGCAGAGTTTTATACAGTGGGGGTTTATGCAGAATCAATAATAATAGCAGTTATAATAGCGCAAGAAATATGGTATTGAGGTTTTAAAACACAGGGTTTCATTTCAGTCGCGCGGACTGTTGAATGCGCCCTCCAAGCCCTTGAGTGCACCGTATTAAAAAAACCAAGCAAACTTCTACCTCGGCATGTTTTTAATTTTTTTTTTTAATGGAGGCCATAACTAACGCAGATGAAGTTGGGATTTTAAAGTCTATATTTGTAAATGTTTTACATAGGCATCTATAAGGGGGGGGGGGAGGAATGTGCTTCTTGAATAGGTGCTCAAATCCAAAGGAAGCATTGCCCTTACCTTTCCCCAAACGATTTAACTCCGCCATTCTAATCTGGTACTTTCTGAAAAGTCGGGGTTCTCCTGTGCTTGAGGTGCCTGTTCTTAAATATACCTTCCCTCTTTTTTTCTCTTAAAGACAAACTTTAATGTTTTATTTTAAGAAGAAGGAAGTGATGAGTTAGTTGAAGAAAATGTTTCTGATAAAAGAGTGCGGTACGACCATACTTCATAAATTTGAATGCGTTGTAGGGATTTTAAAAAATTCCTTGATATTTCTGATATATTGGGAAAAGATAGTGCTAATTTCCACCTTCCAGTGATTTAAAGCAGAAATTAAGGCTCTTTGTTTGATGACCTGTGGAAACTGACTGCTCTGCACTTGAGGTGAATGGGTTTGTTGTTTCTGTACATTAAAGACGTTCTTGTAATAAACAGGAATAAAGCTGTAAGCAGGAGGGATTTAAGACTGAACATGTCTTAAAAAATAAAACTTATTATGTCTGGTCGTGAGTGAACATCACTGAACTTAAGTGCAGTAGGCAGCGAATTTGTCTTTAAAGTTTTGAAGAGGGGTGCTTAAACTTAGGGGACCAGTCTAAGTTTAAGATATTGGGAATGTCTATGCCTTCCAAAGTCTCCCGAATCTGAAACTACAGGATCCAGGGCTGCAAAATGATGAGATAGACACACGCGGGAAGAAAGGACGTGTTTGTGCGCCCATGATTTCAAGGGACCTTTTAATGTTCACGGTGGAACGGTTTTCTTAGAAGTCGAGGGCTACTGGCTGGTCAGCCCCACTGAAGACTGCCTGCGTGCGCCGCGGATGCTTTGACTTCGCGCAGCGCCACCCTCCCTTTCAGCAGCCCTACCCCGGCCGCGCCGTCCGATCCACCAGATTAGCAACACTCAAAAGAGAAAGAGACTCTCTTTAAACCAGATTTACTCAAGGGAGAAGACATTCCCACCAGCTTAAAACCCGAGCCCCAGTGTGGGACAGTTCGGAGAAACCTTGGACAGACCCTCGCATAATTCACTGCGCAGTTTTTTGCCAGGCGAGCGGGGTTGCGCTCTGGGGCTGATCCTTTCACTCTTAACCGGCGGCGGCAGCCTGGAGCGCAGTTCGTTGGAGCGCTACAAGCGCTCGTCTGAGGCTTGAGAGGTGAAGCCCCTTTGGAGTCAAGCTCGACTCCGGTTTACTTCTGTGTATGCCAATACACAGGAGCGTAGTCACACACACGCGCACACACACGATGCCTAGGAAGATAAAGCGCGGGGATGCTTCACCCTTGTTTTCGGCCAGGCACGCTTGTTTTTTTGTTTTTTGTTTTTTTATGGTGGCGGGTCGTGCTTTCACAGCCCCTCACCCCACCCCACCCCCAGGTGTTGACGTACAGCAACCCTGCAAAGTTGAACCCCGAACCGGGCACAGATAGCTGCCCAGGTCATCCTCCCCCAAATTTGGTGATAAAGTTTCCTTCCCATCAGCAGTTGGGGTGGTGGTGGTGAGGGGTGGAGAAAAGGAGTGGGGGGAGTGTGAGGAGGGGGGAGAGAGATTCAGTTTCTCCTCCTC